CAAATCCCTTACTATAAGGGTGTTTTCAGTTCAAGCACTGTAATATTTCACAGTTGTTTTAGCTAAGTGTTTCAATCCATCTTATCACAGCATCAAACTGCTTTCAGAGTCCCAGGCATTCTGGCAGGGTGTGATGTCTTGACAGGAAACCGCTCTTCCACCACAAGAAAGCAAACCCCAATGAGTCTGAGAAGAAGTGAGAACAGCACACAACAGACACAGTGCTCCAAGCAAACAGCTGAGCAAGCCAGCACACAAAACTCCAACCCAGTGCTATTCTCCACAGCACCTCAAACTTCCAGGGCCTTGACAAGCACAATCAGTCACAAACTCTAAAGCAGAGAAGGGCTTCTGCCCCCAGCCAGGGCCGTTCAATAACACACAGCTGCTTTGTTACATGTACAGTCAGCAGCAGGCCTGTACTAGAAAACTCGACTGTACAAAGGAGAAATTGCAATTTCTCTCTGAGGCTGTGCTATCCTTTTCATATAGTAGACAGGCCAACCTGTACATTCGCTGCTGCTTTCCTTGGTTTCCTCAATTTTAGGCTGGAAACACTAAGAAAACGAGTCATAGCAATGGCACTTCAGAATCAGCAAGTCTGATTTGAAACTTCATGTTTTACTTCAAACTTCATTTAAGACAACACTGGGCTCTTGAAGCAGCTAGGACCAAATAACAAACATCTCCTGAGGAATTCACTGCTTCCACCAGACATTGCTGCAAGAGCTCAAAGATATCCTTAGAGCTGCTCAAAAACGAAACAGGCACTTCTGCTAGAAGGAGCAGGTAACAATTTATCTCCCTCAATGTAAACATAAGCCAATTAAAAACGAAACCAAAACAGGAAGGGAGAAGGAATGAAGGGTAAGTCCCTCACATGGAAATTAAAAGGTTGTCATCTTACACCAAAACATGATTATTAGATGCTTTAGTTAATGCAGCAGTAGAACTGGGTAGGAAAAGGGACTACCTTTTTTGAGGGGAAGGAGGTGTTTTAAAAGCTATTTTGTGCTAGGAAAAAAAAAACCACCCACCCTTCCTTTATCCATGAGAAGAAAAGAATCCTAACCCCACAATTGCAAAAGCTCACCTCCCAGCCTGCTACCAGCAAACAGGCAAAGAAGCTGACAGAGAACAAGGCAGATTTCTAGCTGGATTCTGTCAAATGATTAGAGACCAGACAGCTCAGAATGCTTTTGTTATGCCAAACCAGCCAGTCACACTGAACTCTACTTTCTGACCAGTTTATCTAAGAACCTTCCCCTTTTGACTGCCACGTGTCCTCAGGAGACAGACAAACTGAAGTCCAAAAGGAGCCCAGTGGCTGGGAGTGGCTGGCTCATCCCCTTGCTCCACGTCTCCAAACACAACCCGTTCAGTGCCCTGAACTGACTGCAGAGACCCGAGTGGATCGCAAAGAAAAACGTCTGCCCACACCACGGAGCTGGGCAGAAATCTGACTTCACCAGCAAAGCTTCCCAAGCATTTTGCAGCAAGACCAAATCACTCCTGCTCCAGATGGAGAGGCACCCACCTGCTGCTTCCATGGCACCCAGGGTTTACAGCACAACTGCAATAATGATGTTATTAAGGACCTAAAAACCTGCCCCCCTAGACCGGAGCAGCTTTGAAGCCAATTTTCTTTGGGACAATGGTGAAAAGAAAGCCTGAAATTGGCTTTTCTGGGATACCTCCACCATAAGAAAAGCTCTCCCAAAACCCCTATTGTTTAGTACTTAGCCAACATCCTAAAAAGCATAAGAGTTTATTTTTTTGCCAACAGTATCACACAAATACAAACCTTTGGTATTAGAAACCTGAATAACATCAACATTTCTAGAGGAATCTGCGTTCCCTTTTAGGGCAGGTGCTAAGCTCTTAGACCGAAGGGTAACATCCAGCAACACAAGTTCAAAGGCACAATTAACTGCTGTATTAAAAGGAGCCAAGTCTTTTTTAGTGGGATGTATGCTCTGTTACATTTTCATTGATTGTTTTCTTTTTTTTTGCAGGACAGGAAAGCCATTTCTATTCACCCTATTAGCCTTTGCTCTATTATTGATCAATGCCTTCTATTTTTATCTTTAACAGAGGTAAACAGTCTTCTCTCCAGGGAAACCTGTCTTTATGTCTTCAATAATTACGCCTGTTCAAGCTCCTAACATGCCAAGAATAATTTCAAACTTTCTGTATGCAGGAGCCATCTTCACTATTTCCTCTAGATTTCCCACTCCTCCTCCTCTGCTCACTCTTGACAGCTTCAGAGCGTTCGAGGCAGCTTTCATAGAGCTGTCCCTGAAATCACTCTAGTCCCTTTCCACAATTCACCAGAACTCAGTCACGCACACGTTCTTCCAAAGCCCTCCTTCCACTACACATTGCAGCTGCCACGGCTGAATTTAGCCCTTAAAGAGCAATTGAGATTTCGAGACACCACGAGCATCCCAACAAGACCGCGACAACTCACCTACAGTGCAAGAGAACACAGGCACAGCGTCAGCCTCCTCACACACCTACCACACCAGCACACGCGCGAGGCGTCTGTCAGTCCATCCAGTCCGAAGCAAAGGAAACCCAGCAAACACAAAGCTGGTACCCACACTACTGCAGTCTACTGAGCTCCCAGCCCACCCAGGAGCAGACACACCGTGCAGACAGTGACACCCACCCAACGGCACCAAAGAGCGTGACAGCACCGGGGAACGAGGGGGCTGTGCTGGGGCGTGTGCATGCACGGGGAGAGCGGAACAGCTGCAGCAAGGGCAGGCTGCGGGGAGGGAGAGCAAGGAACTGGGGGGGCTGCACCGGGAGTGGGGGCGAGCTTGTGGGGGCCGCACTGCGAGGCTCCGGGTAGGCGCGGGGGTGGGCGGTGGGAGCGCTGGTATGGAGGCCATGCGGGAGGAATGTGCGCGGAAGGGGAATGGCGGGGGCAGCGCTGAGGAGAAGGGGCGCCCACCGCGGGGGGGAACGGGGCGTAGGGCTGAGTAGGGACGGGGGAAGTCGCGCGGGTCACGTCAGGGAACGGCAGAAGGAGCTGCGGGGGAGCGGGAACAGCGACCACACCGGGCCGGCGCGGGGCGCAAGGTGAGTTCGTGGGCACCTCAACGAGCCACCCCCGCGCCAGCGCGGCCCCTCCGGCCCGGCCCGCCCCGAGCGCCCGCAGCCGCCCCCGCCACGTCTTACCATGCAGCGGGCGGGCGGGCGCGGCCCAGCCCGGTGGGGCGAGGAGGGGTCGGGTCGGGCCCTGCCCGCTGCCCCGCGGGCGGCGCCGGCACCGGCGCGGGGGCGCGGAAGCCTCAGGAGCCCATGGCGACGCCGGGCCCGGCCCGGCCCTCCCTCCCTCCGCGCCTGCGCACGGCACCGCGCGCGCCGTCCACCGCCAGCGAGGGAGGGGGAACAGGGTGACGTCACCGCTCCTCTCTTAAAGGGGCAGCGCCGCCGGGCGCGGGTGACGCGGCGCCTTTCCGCGGCGCCGGGCAGGGGCCTGCGCTTCCCGGGACCGGGCACACGGGCGGGCCTGCGGCTCTTCTCGCCAGCCCGGCCGCAGGCAGTACGGGCCTCAGGAAGAGCCTCCCCAGGCAGATTTCCATCCGACCTCAGCGCCGATTTCCCCCAAACCCCGAGTGAAAGAAACAGGCGGAGAGGTGTTGGAAAGCAAAGCCGTGCCTCTACTCAAGTCTGAACAAGGCACTCTAGAGTCTAAAAAAAAAAAAAAAAAAACCCGAAACACAAAAGCCGAACGAAGAAAGTAAACGCACCACACCCTAGAACATTTAACAGGGCTGTGCTAGCAAAAGGAGGCGACATCCTGCCCGCCATAGGATTGATGATTTTCTCCTTTTCTCCTGCTGCACTGGAAGGCCCCTTGCCCATCTTGAAACAGATACGGAGCTGCTGCCACACGTGCCCGAAAATGGCAGCGCCTTCCCGGTCTGTCCCAGGGCAGAACTCCTGCCCCAAACGCCCCCACGGCTCCTGGCCCCTGCCAGACCACGGCTCTGCTGGCCAGTGTAGTCCTGCACACAAGAAACGTTCCCCTTTCTCACAGAAAACAGGATTTACAACAGAAAAAGTCCAGTTTCATTCTGAGCCAGCAAAAGCACACTCAGAATGGAGGCAGGGCAAATGCAGGATAGAGATAACCACAGAATACCCCACAGCCCTGGCTAGTTCCCATTCCCCTTCCTCTTCCCATCCCTCCTACACTCATGCCTGGAGCTGGAAGACCCATGCAGCATGGAAACAAAGGAACAGCTCTTCCTGGCCAGCTGGCAGAGAACAGGCTTGGAAAGAACTTCCAAAGTCATCAAGATCCATAATTTATTCCCAGCAGGTGTTTCTGAAAATAAGTTTCATGGGTTTGACAGAGCCTGGAAGAAACAGGCCTCTCATCAGGATAATGCAGGGATGTGTAACTATAGGAGCAGCAATTTAGAAATAAATCAGTATTAAAATGTAGTATTTTACTGCCAGACTGGTCAGACAACCAAAGGAGGAGGAACCCAAACAAACCACACCACCAAAAGCAGACACCAAAGGAGCAGGTGCCACTCCACAGAGCGTTCGGTCTGTTTAATCAGGAACTGTGCTGCTGTCAAGTGCTCCGCACCCCTCTCCTTCAGGACTTAAGTTTGAAGAAAACAAAAACCACAAAATCCAGGGTCCACCTCTGTTGAAGCCAGCGGCGTGGAAAGGCCCATTCCTCTCTCCTCAAGGCCAGACACATGGGACACCAGAGGCTCAGATCCAGGAACCGAGAGATCCTGAATCAGATTTCACGTAACTCCCGCCTGTTCCAAGGCTGCAACTGCAGAGATCAGCTCAGGTTTATTTTTAGGTGCTCCAGTCCTGTGCCCTTTTTTTCCAGTAATTCTGATCAAACTTGTTCCTGGAATTCACAAACAGGTTCAGCTGCAAGACCATGTCTCCTGTGTGCAAGATGTGACTCCCAGCAACGATGCCAGGGCCATTAAAGGAAGAAATGACAGATGCTGGCATCACTTTATCATTTTCTACTTTATTACTTCAAATTAACAACCACGATAAAGCTCAAAAAAGTCCAATATTTACACAGGAAAAAAGTACAAAATCCCCCCCAAAGTTCTTCAGGTTTTTTTTTGTTTTTTTAAATTACAAAGTAATAAAAAGTTTTGCTCTTTAATTAAAAAAAAGAGAGAGACAGTAAGAGGGGTAAATAAATTAGGAAAAAAACAGGGAGGAAAAATAAAGTGTTAAATAGAAAGGGTAAAAACAAACAAAACAAAGACTAACCCCACCCTCCCCGCCCTGCCAACAACCCATCGGCTCCACACTACAGTGACAGTGTGTCTGCTACAGGCCATAGGTCGCAGTGGTGATCATTGTGTTTCAAAGCCCCAAGTGCCACAAAGCAGCTTGAGTATTCCTAAATTATATTAAAAAACAACTAAAGTGGGGGGGGGAAAGGGGGGGAGACGGGTGGGAGAGGGCAGGAGGGGATTGTGCATGTATTGGTGGATCTTACTTGGGGTTGCATGAGGAGAGAGCAAGAACCATCGCTCTGAAAGAACACCAAACTCCAGTTTCTGTGCGCCCCTCTCTTCTCCTCAAGTCCCACACTCTCTCCGTGGGAATTAAAACAAGTTTTAATTAAAAAATAAAAATAGAAAAACACGCACAGCCAGACAAAAAAAAAAAAAAAAAAGACCCCACTGCAGGGATGAGAAGTATATTTCTCCCTGTATGACAGCTCCAACAATCCCATCCTCTGTGGGACAAGGTGCCTCTCCAAAGAGATCCCTCGGTGTGTGAGGACCACTTGGATCAGGGAAGGCTGGCACTTCTCCCAACAGCCAAAAAAGAAACCGCGGAGAAGCCACCCAAGGAAAGGAAGCCCGAGTCAATGATTAGGCTGTTGCCACAATTCCCCCTCACAGCTTAAAATGTGTTTAATGCTTGAGAAAATAAATTCTGTTATAATAATAAAAATCAGACTTCTACCATCAAGTGTGGCTGGAATCTGATTCCCTCCTGGCCCACAAGGCTCCTGAAAAGAACAAACCAAAAAAGACCAAAAAAATACCTCACCCACCCACCAACAACCCCTGCCCTCAGAAAAAACGGAGAGCAAAGTTTAAATTTATACGGCTAGAAACCATATGACTCGAAAACAATATTAAAAAGAAAAATTAAAGCAGGACAGGATAGCCAAGAAGAAGGAAGAAAAAACAAGAGAGAAATCAAAACCAGGAGCAGAGAGTCAGGAGAGGGAACTGAGGGTAGCCGTGGGGGCAGCGATAGGGGCTGGGGAGCAGCGCAGGTCTTCCCACACGGCTCCCACGTCGTCGACAGCTCCTCGGAGGCGCTCACACCAGGGACAGGCGGCCCTCTGGAAACGGCTCACACCAGCGCGGGGGCACAGCTCGACTCCTCATCGTTGGCAAAAAGAAATTCTGTTGGGTTTTTTTTTTGTTTGGTTTTTTTTTGTCTTTTTTTTTTTTTTAAGGTTTTTGTTTGTTTTTTAGGTTTTTTGTTTTTTAAAAGAAAAATACAGTGAAGACACTAAAAAGAGAATTTAAAAGAGAGAAAAAGGCAAGAGATGTTAGGAGTAAAGGCTCTTCCCAGCACTTCCATTGCCAGCTGGAGTGTAACAAATCAAATCAGCCCTTTCTTCTACACTCCTGCCTCCCCTCAGAGTTACCTTGCCCAGCTACTGTCATTTCCTCTACAAGAGGCACTCAGTAGCTGTACAAAGTCTTGCACACTTGATTACCTGCTCAGCACCCTCCACCCCAACACTGTCACACTGCCAGAAAAGCATTCATGAGGAATTAACAAAATGGCTCCCCAGCCCAGCACCTTCTCCACCCTCCCTATCCTCTTGGAGAACTGGAAGCTACCTTTACACCTAAGACAATCTGTTTCCTCAAAGTTTTGGCAGCCAACCTTATTGTTCCCTCTGAAGCCAAAAGACATCTCAAAGTAAGGTGAAAGGAAAGGAAATTTACCAATCCCCCACAAAAAAATAAAGTCTTAAGGCATTTTTTCCCAGCAATTCCCTCCTCAGGGGTTCCCAGGCATGAGTACAGGCTCACCTAAGCAAACACTGGTCCAGTGGCAATTGCTCCTCACTTCCCAAGGTGATCAAATGGCACACTTGTCTACAAAAGAAAAGGAAGTGTTGCAAAGGGCTGGAGAGGAAAAAAAAAAGCAAAAAAGGCACCAAAACAGAGAGACTGCATGTTTCTCTCAGAAACCAACCTCACTCTTAAGAGTTTACTGCTTTGCTTTTCCAAACCACTGTGGTCTGGAAGACAGCAAGATGACGGCTTATTTCGAGCAAAGCAGAGAGCTAAAATGGCAGTACTCAGCATGGCCTCCAGAAAATACATAACAGAAGAGCAAGGGTGTAACTTGGTACCACTCCCCTCCCCACACCAGAAGCTTCCAGCTCATGTCAGCTCCAGCAAAGCAGGCAAAAACTGCTCTGGGGCCTGTAGAGTTTCTGGGACATCCAAGCCAAGGCCAGGAACACTGCAGCAGGAACTCACCTGTGATGCTGAAATCCGTGACACTTCTTGCCGCCCTGTGAGGTCAGATGAGGAGACGTTGGCAGGAGCTCCTCGGTGTAACCTCATGCTGACCTTCCGCTCCCTGTCCACTCTTGAGATTGCTCTGGGGGACGTGTTGCCTATTGGGGCAGAGAAATGTCGAGACAAGAATATCAGTCAATAGCTTTGCTTTCCAGCCAACAACAGGGGTGGCACCCGCCGCCAGCTCTCCCACCCGCCTCACCGGACTGCTGGATTCGGGAGGTGGGGGTGGAGGCCATGGGCTCGGTGACATTGCGAAGACGGTTGGCAGTGGCTCCGGCAGGTGGGCCAGGGGGCAGCGCTCGCGTGGCTGACCCTCGGAGTTGCCCCATCCTCTCCTCCCGCTCGTGCTCTCGCCGCTCACGATCCATATCCTCAGGGTTCCGGGCTGCTCCCTGAGTAGAGAAACCCCCACGCCACACACAGCTGTCAGGCAGGAGAGACAGCAGCAGCCCCAGACAGAAAACACATGGTGCTCCATCATGCCAAGGAAGTGGAGCTCCATCCCCAAAACTCCCCCCACCACCTTCCACTGCCCCAAGAAAGGACCTCATTCTATTCAAAAATGAAACAGATAAGAAAGCATATGAACTATAGCTATTATTGTAATCCACATCTGTGTCCCAGCTCCAAATAGAGCTCTCTCCTGAAAAATTATCTCTACCTACCTCTAGCTATAGATCTACTGACACAAGTGCTCCATCAGACACACTGACTAATACAACAGTAACTATACCGCCAGTTAGTTATGCACCTAATCCCCAGCTTGTTATGCACAAAACTCTGCCTCTTTTTCACTCTACCTGGTCCCTTTGCTCAGGCTGTTCACCAGGGCTAAGCACAGACAGCAGGCAGATTCCAACCTTCCTCCCCCATCTCCATGATACAAACCAACCCTGGTCCAGCCCTTTTGCCAAACACACTCACAAATTTAAGCATGTTCCAGTCAAAGACGTAGTCATAGGAGAAGCCTTGGCGGTGGAAGAGGTTGCGGAAGAGTTGCCGCAGGTACGAGTAGTCAGGTTTATCATCAAACCTCAGTGAACGGCAGAAGTTGAGGTATGTCGAGAACTCAGCTGGAGAGAGCAGAGAACAGCTGATGACTGTGGTTTGCCATCCAACCCCCTGCTCCCACCATGGAGCCGCTGCTGCCTTTTGACAGTGGCATGCTGGACTAGGACAGCACAAACACAGCGCTGTGTAACACAGACTGAGCCTGCTGGTGGCAGTGCTTTGGGCACCAAAAGGACCCCATCTCTCTTTTTACCAGAGAAAATGTTACGCATCTTTTTCTGTCAGCTTCTCCAAGCCACATCTAGCAAGTCAGTGCCTGTTGAAGGACAGTAGGAATGCAGACCTAAAGAGCTGGAGACGAGTTTTGGGAAGTTCAGCTCGGAACAGAAGTCCTCCTAGCTCAGTAGCCTGTTGTACACAGTGGTCAGAAGTACATGAGACGAGAAAGAGTGGGGCAGACATGTCTGACACTTCCTCTAACATTAGCCCAGCACCTACTTTCAGCTCCAGGAACCTCCTGATCTGGATGTAGTTCCTAACTATTTAGTAATCCGCATAGGATCTCTCTTCCACGTATTTGTCCCGTCTCTCCTCGAACTCCTGTAAGATTTAAGTATCCACAATATCTTCTGGGAAGGAGTTCCACAGGTCTCCACACTGGCTGTGTGAAGAACTACATCCTTTTGTTTTGAAGCTGGCAGAAACCAGCATTGTTTCTCTTCCAGTACAAGAACTGGGTCCACCAAATAATCAGTTCCCATCCAAACTTCTGTAGGCATAGCCAGAGAGCAGACTTCTATCATCTCTCTATCCACCTCTTTTTCCAGCAGACTCATTACTTGGGCAGAAATCCACTCACCTCTGGTCACGCTTTTGGCCCTTTCCTCAGTTATACCATATCCTTTGTGAAACAGTGGGATGGACCAGACTTGCACAGTGCATGCAAGGTGCAAGCGGGCCATGGGTGTATGCATACCGTTTGGGATTCTTTCCTAGTAATTCCTAACACTCCCGTTCCCCAGCAGCCACCAAGCACAAATCTCAGAACCATTGATTGTAACTGCAACAGCTCATTGGCGAGTGGCACTGGTCAGCCAGAGCCTACTGTTGTCTACTGTTGTGCACATGATCTGAGGACCAATACTTCGCTCTGTTCTCACATACATTACTCCATGTTTACCTACAAAGAACTGCATTTGCCACTTTATGGCCGGGTAATTCCTGGGACTCCTCATTAAACAGTAAAAATCCAGCATCATCAGTATGCCTTCTCAGCTCAAGGCCCACCCCCCTTTAAAATGCTCACCAGGTCCTGAAGATTCCCCCTCTCAGCACTCTCATGCCCTTACTAACGTAAATTTGACTATCCACAAAAACACATTTCCCACTTCTGAACCCAAACTGTACCACAACTGCTCTGTTATCCTTCCAATCACCCATGTCAGCAGCACATCCTGCTCTGGGTTACTGGGCACTGCCCTTTAGGAATCAGGATTCCAGGGGGTTTCAGCAGGTGAACAAGCCAAGCAGCAGACAAGACAGCCATCAAGATGAGAGCACTTACAAGGGTACCCTTTGCAGAGCACCTCGATGGGCGTTGACATCTTTTTCTCGCTGATCCTCTCATACTTTTGGCGCTTGGTGGCAGCCTTGAGGCCCTGCCAGGGCAGCGAGCCCAGGTTGAAATACATGAGCACATAACCCAGGCTCTCCAGGTCATCACGGCGACTTTGTTCTGTGAGAAGTTACAAAGGGGCAAGGAGTGAGCAGCAAACAAACCTGCTTTGTCAATCACATAGCTTTGGAGGTGAACACTGAATGGTACAACCAACCCCCTCACTTTTCTGGTAGATTCCTATAGATAGTGAATCTTGTAGAAGACATTCCATAGCAAATTCCTGTGATGATGGTCATTCTACCATGAGTTAAGGTGTTCCTCTCCCCATACAGCCCAACCCACTTCATAACTAATGACTGTGACTATCTCCTCACTTGGACAAGCCTTAATACACACAAGAATTTCACATCTCAAGAACTGCTGCACCAACCCTGCCTACTTTGCTCTTCCCAGTCTCAGAGGAAGGGCCTACACTTCTCCACCCAAGATGACTCTTCAGTCCAGGGATTAGTCATGACAGAGGTAGTCACAGACAGACAAACCTAACAGAGGTAAGTCCAACACAGTCCTTTCAAATACATCTTCTAATTAAACTCCTGATAGTCTTTAAGCAGGGCAGAAACAAGGAACTAGGGACCCCTTCTTGTAGTAAACAACTTTGTTGATAGTAGAAGCCTAATGTGTAATGTGCAAAGATGTCTTTCCAGCTTGGTCACATTTTTCAAGCTGTGGAGGAAAGGGGCATACTTTGAAGACAAAATTCCCCTCCAAATGAGGAATGACTGTAACTGGCATCACTACCAACTCTACTTGGACCAAGGGTTGCCCTTAAGATGCCATTGGAAGGACCCATTTTTAGATGTTTACTTATAAAACAAAAGAAAAAAAAACCCCCAACATTTTGCATTGACCTTGTTCTCTGGAATAGCCAAGCCACTTTAAAGTTTCAAGCTAGCTCAAGAAGGATTTGATGCAGAATCTCAACAACTGCAAATATTGCCTGGTTAACTCCTCCCAACTCCTCCAACGTTGCTTGCAAATTAATCTATAAATCTTGCCAAGATTGTCTTGTTCTTGCTTCCCTCCCAAATAAAATAAACACTTCGGAGAAAGTACTTTACATCTCTAAAAGAACAACTGACACAGATAACAAGCAGGCAAAATATGGCTTAAGGGAGAGCACAGGGATAGAGGAAAGACTAACAAGCTCCATCTCTTAGATTAAGTTACTATAGCACATTTTGCTGGATTCAGTGCCACATCCTGGAAGATGTTGCACATAATATACTAGTCTGTGAGCTGTCAGTATCAGATACATGCTACCACCTGCCCTATTCAAAGGCCAGTAGATCACTATAGCTATCTCTTTCTCTGTTAGCTGAGCTGAATCATGACAAAAGAGTAGCTGTAGCAGGCCACAGATACACATATCCTCATGTAACAACACGAGCTGTGGGTCACAAGGCTCCTTCTTCCTTGTGAATCTCTCTCACAACCTCCTAGTTGTTTTGAGAATTGAGGGCTTGGCAAGTTAAAAATGTTGAGGGGGAAAAAAAAAGTACTGTGGTTGCAGGAGGAGGGTCTCATCACTCCATAAGTGATAGGAGAGATCATTTGGGTCAAAGCACATGAAACACCACTAAAATGCCACATTCCAAGATGGTAGAGAAGAAAGCAGCCCTGCAGATTCCCAAAGCATCTTACTTTGAGCATGTAGAAATTACAGCATTTTTTGACCTCACTAACTTACTGTCTCAAGTTGCCCACTTTAAAGGGGCTAATACTTCCTAATCTTATCAGGCTACTGCCAAAGATAATTACATGACTGTCTGGGAGATACTTAGATGCTATGACAGAAAGAAACCCAGTTTTGCATTTAGCCTAAGGTTGGGATACGTGTACTCTCAGAGGGCTGCGATTACTCACCATGCATATCAAATAAACAAAACTAAACAATATTGGCTAATGACCTACATCCTTAGACAGGAGGCAGGTGGAAATGGAGTCAGAACACACACCCAGGCCTTGAAAGCACAGGACACAAGGATAACCTCAGTCCCGCAGTCTTGCCAGCCCTTGACTTATCCATGCTGTAGCTTTAACACCTCTAGCTGTGGCTTCTTGACTAGAGCATGGTGGTTCCCCTCAGAGGAGTAGGGAAAGGCAGGGCAGGAACCAGAGAAACCTACTAAACAAGCAAATCAGCCTTTCAGGAATAAATCAGGATGTCGCCTCCAAAATCCTGCTTGAACTCCAAATTGCTTAGGGCAGGCTGAATAACATACCTCTACTTGTGTGAAGCACAACACTTTTGAGCACAGCCACCAATGCCATTCAGAATGGGATACATTCTGCAAACAGATGCCTGGTCATGGTCCTAGCACTTTAGGGAAGGCCAGAATTAGAGACTTGAGATTAGGGAGCCTGAAGTCAGTGGGGGATGCTATGAGCCCTCACTGAAGGGAATGAGGGAGGTTAAAAACCAAATTGGGAAGCTACCTAGTATCCATTACGTGCATGCAAACACACCTTAACTGTGTCTTAACACAGCAATGTGATCAAGGAAAAACAATTGCAAGCACAGCACCTAATTATTAAAATGCCGAAGTGTAAGTGTTTGACAGCACTGCACTCCTGATGTTTCGCACCTCACGTACACGTGGTCACCACAGCCCACTCAAACGACTCCAGGGAGACTCACACCAGTGATGAGCCTGAAGTACCAACACCGGGAGTCACAGCTGGGCACCTAGCTCAAAACATCGTAGCAGTCTGTTTCTGGTAACCCTATGTACGAGATCCTGAACTAAACCTTGGAGGAAGGTAAGGGACAACAGTTCCTACATCCTGTTTCTTTGTTTCATCTTCAGTTACTATTATGCATCTCCCAAAATTTAATTACTTTTTTTACAGAGTCAGGATACTAGATAACATTAAACAGCAAAGAGTTAGAAATAAAACTTTACACACCAAGGAAACATTATTTAGTGTTACTACTTTCCACTTTTAGAAACCTGACAAGCAGTGACTAACTCTCAACAGCATCCCTGGGCTGCAGGAAAAAAATAAGATCTCACTCTCAAGTTTGAAAAGATAAAGAAAAATACAAGTGACGTGAATGCATCTGCTGAGCAAGTCAGTCCAAAAGCAGGATTATAGTCATGACCTGTGATACCACACCAGACTTCCTCTCTCCATTTTATCTCAGCTCTCCTACAATGGGGGTTTTTTTTGAAAGCCAATTTTATAAAAAATGTCTTTTCCCTAAGACACTCATCCTTTCCTCCCTCCTTCCCAAAAGCCCTTCCAATAGAAAACACAAGGTCGCCTTCCCACACAACCCAACATGACCTCCCAAACCCAACCCACTTTGCAAGCAGTCTCCTGCCAGTTCCCTCCCACCCCCAGCGAGCTTCCCAGCCAGCCCACACCTTCACTCCCTTCCCAAAGCAGGGTCCTCAGAAGCCAAGTCAGGGGTGAGTGGCAGGACAGGACAAGACGTGCTTGGGCAAAGACTGAGGACTGGTTGCCTTGCACACAAAGCTCATGACAAAACGTGTTTCTTTGCAGCCTAAACGGTCTCCTGGTCCCCCGTCCAAAGAGTGTTTTCCTCCACTCTGATCCTACCAAAGTGATGCTGCTGCCATGAAGAGCTCCACAGAAATCAGCTGTCTTCCCTGGACCCAGCCCAGCCGCAGGCAGGCTTAACCAAGCAATGTTTTCCTGATTACATACTCAGATCTGATCTTGCACATACTGGACTAGAGTTCCCCTTTCTCTCCCCACTGCATGGCAACAAGCCTTTAAAAACACACAAGAATCTGAAATGGGTAACAGAGGGCAGGATGAGCAGGAGGACTTATGATCTGCACAGCCTACACCGACACCATCTAGGACATTCGTTTGGGAAGGCACTGCCCCCCCACCCCTCTGTCACCCAGACAGAGACCATCAGGCTTCTTCCGAGACTGTCTCATGGGCACCCCGGGCATCTATTTCAGACATTACAGGCTACAGTGGGTGCAAGGGACTCTCATCCCTAGAGCATGTGAAAATTGACTGGAATGCATGAACTGAAGCCTGCACAGTCTAATGACTCCCCGAACAGCAAGTCTCCAGCTGTGGAACCCTCCCCAATTTTGCCTCCTACTTTTTTCCCCAGTCACTGGGAAAAGAATGTGTTTCCTCCAGACATTGGAATGCCCAACCCTTAGCTTGCAAATTCAAATAAAGGCATTTATTCATTTGCTATTCCTGTCACACAAATACCCCAGCACCTGGTTCCTTCCCTCTCCCTAGACCACATTAACGTAACATTAAGACAGAGAATTTAGTCTCTGAAAAGTCAAAAAAACCAGTGATGGTTCCCATGGCAATGCTGCTAACTCACAAATATCTCTGTCATATACCCTGTGGCAAGGTCTTGAGAAACAGGAACTCCAGCTGAAACCCAAACACCCCCACCCCCTTTCCTCCAGGCAAGTCATGTAACCTTTATGCCGTTCAGGGCAACTATCGGCAACGTGGAGATAATACACCCGAGACCTGTTGCGCAGAGTAACTCACACCCAGACTCTCCCGAACCAAAGGGCACGGAGAGAGCGGCGGCTGCACTCAGACCCATGGCATATGCAATTTGCCCTTGGATTACTGTTTAGACACTGTTTGCTCATCCTGACACACAAGCCAAGCACCAGTAGTAAAGGGCTAAGTTGGGGTGGAATGAATAATGAAGTTGTTCAAAAGCCACAAGCAGACATTTAGCCTCTCGTGATCAGTTCAGGCAGAGCAGGCACACACAAAAGAATTAACAGACATAGTAGTGAGAATTATTTTGTGCATGTCTCCCTGTAGTAGTTACCATGGCTGTAGAAATCTTGACTGAGAATTCAATGGAGAGTCAGTTATATATATGCAGGTCAAGCCAAAATACAGAAGGCCAACTCAGAAAGCTCTACAAGAACTATTTTTATAACATGGAAGAGGTCAGGAGATTACAGCCCACTCTCAACACACAACACTCCCCATTTTGATATAAATAAAGCATTCTCCATCTCACATTATATAGTATTAAGCAAGGAAGACAGTGGGAAAAACTTTTATGCAGGCCGAGTATTGACTTCAGATATCTGAGAAATACCTGCAAGAGGGGAGAATGCATGAAGAATGGGGACATGAAGTGCTATGAAAGCTGTTAGTTTAAAAGGTTTGAGTGCCTTGCTCTGATTTTCAAATTCCCAGGTCAGGTTATACACTTGAGAAGAAGGGCCTCCCAGAGATATAAACAATCTGCAAGCACAGCAGATACTTCCCTGGGTCCAACAGGCAAGACAGCTTCAGTGTTTCTGCTCCTTAAGAGTTGTCAGCCAATATCAGAACCTGGAGCAGCCTGCTCCAAATGGACCCTACAGTAACTAAGGAAGCCTCACACTGTGAACAAAGTTTAGCTAAAATTTACCAGAGAAAGGAGGTCAAATGCTGGAAAGAAGTTTTTGGGCAGAGAACAGAAGAGAAAACTGCAAGAGGTTTTCAACTATGTTCCTCACCACCACCAGGGGCTGACTCCAGGAAAAGTTTGGGTGACTTCAAGAGGTTTAAGCATGGTGAGTACTAACCTGCACAAGGTTTTTACAAAACCTGGGATGATGGTCATCACCAGTGTAAGACCTGGCTGAACACTCAGCACTCTTTTCCAGCCTAGTTTCATCCCTTTGGTACTAACCACACACACTAAGGGCAGAACCCTACTTCCCTGAAGTGGCCTCACTGGGTTAGTGCAGTTCACAGACACGTCTGTATTTTGAAGGCCTGTGACAGCCTCTTACAGTCCAGGGGTGTCCAGGCAGCTGGAAGCCTCCCCTCATGTCAGCTTCTTGTACATTTTCCAGCACATCCCCATCCTCAGTGGCTGGTAACACTATATTGCAGTGGGCCTCTATCTTCCAGCTCTGACAGCAACAGAATAATCACTGATGAAGGCACTCAGGAGTCAAAAAGACAGGTTTCAACTGCACATATTCCTATAGGCTCAGTGGTTGTGAATGTCTCCTTTACACATCTAATCAGCCTGAAAAAATTGCAAAAATTGTGCTAAGGCAGATCTAGTAGGAGCAGAGTCAGGGAGGTCACAGCCTTGATGCTCAACAAGGCCCCCTGCACTGAGCAGTGCACACACACATATCAGGAGACGATGTCTGTCTCCAGGAGCTCCGAGTGCCACCACAGCAGCAGAAGTAACACAGGTGTAGCATTTAAGTTATTTGCCCACCATCTCAAGGCAGGTCAGCAGCGGAGTCAGGCAAAGAACCCAACCCCTTCCTTCTGGGGACATACAACCTGCCCTGGAAAGCCCCACCAAGAGGCAACAGCAAGCAGGCTCACCAATTCCCAGGTGGGTGTTGATAGAGGCGTAACGGGCCGTGCCAGTCAGATTCTTGTTTTCCCGATAAGGGATGTGCTGGTGGGTCCGGGCGTCCCGGTACTTCTTGGCCAAACCAAAATCAATGATGTATACTAGGTTGCCCTTTTTGCCAAGGCCCATAAGGAAGTTGTCTGGCTTCACATCCCGATGGATGAAGTTCTTGGAATGAATGTACTCAATACGACTGATCTGGAGGAGGGATAGATAAATAAACAAATAAATAGCGAGACAAGCAAAACCAAACTTATTTTAACTGCATCTGTTAAAAATAGTGCCCCGTCCAAGACACTGGCCCGTCAGAGCAAGAAAAGGACACTTTGCATTGAGTATCAGTGATGTCAGCCAAGGAAATGACACCCTGTGGACTGCAGGATCTGGAGATGGAATTTAACCCTGCACAACAGCCCAGTCCTCACTCTGGGAAGGTCACCATTAACATCACAAGGAAAGATGGGAAGCAAGTCTATAGGGACTAAAATTTTGAGCTTCAGCATTGACAGCTGCCAACTTTTGAACTTAGCTGGGCCAGGAAAGGAACGGGTCTGTCCAGAAGAGCTAATGGCATGAACAGTGAACCCAGGGCACGAGCAGTGGAATTAACATAGGTGCCAATAACCCATCAGGCAGGCAAAGGTATCTATGTGTGCAACAATAACATGAGGCAAGCAGCAGGCAAAGGAAAGAGGGATGGAGATAAGGAAATGCCGCCAGTGCCTAGGTTCCAGGCCCCCAACTTCATCAAGAAATAGAAAGCTGGCAGGCACTTGTGCTAAGAAAGCCTCGGATACAGCAGTTCTCAAGCAGAGGGGATGGGAGAGGAATGTGTGGGGGGAAAAGGCATGGAAAAGGAGAGTAGGCACAAATGCTTCAGAGGAAACTTACCATCTGGTCTGCCAGCAGCAGAACTGTCTTGAGACTAAATTTGCGGGAACAGAAGTTGAAGAGATCTTCCAGGCTGGGCCCCAAGAGTTCCATCACCATCACATTGTAGTCCCCCTCTGCTCCACACCACTTAATGGAGGGGATACCCACTGGGGAAAGAAAAGATTAAGCCCAGGGAAGAGAGAGAATAGATGTTGAATCCCCTGCTGAGAAGATCATGCATAACACCAAATCATTTCTTTTCTAAAGCCCTCCAGAAAAATTTCCTTCTCCAACCACTCCCCCAGCCCCATCCTTTCCTTCCCATCTCACCTCCTCCCTGCATCATCTTGTAGAACTTGCTTTCAATGTGGAGCTGGGGATGCTTGGTTTTGACACATTCCAGTTTGATGGCCACCTCTTCACCAGTTGCAATATTGGCTCCTGCATAGGAATGAGAGTGAAATGAAGATTGCACAAGCTTCTACTGAAGTTAAACACTTCTAACAAGGCCTGTAAAGATGCCAAGACCTTAAGATTTGCCCTGAAATTTATTCTCTATGGCAGAAATGAGATTCAGCCACTTCAGTTTCATATGGTTTCCAGCACTACCACTTGTAAATGCAAGCCCAGAGAGAGGCACATAAATAGGAAACTTGGTCTGGTCCTGAAGTTAGTTTAGAACAACAATGCTACACATGAACTGCCTCGTTATCTCAAAAAGTGACAGACTTTGGAAGGTCAATCTACACATACCAACAGTACCTGGACCGAGTAGAAGTTGTAGCTTCCTCTGATCATAAACCTAGGCCCTGAACCCAAGCAGCCCTCAGGCAGTGATACGGAGTATCTCTTCCCCAGAAAAATTACTGGTTACCTCAGTTAGATCATTTCAACACAGCCAATTAGTTCAGGAGGAGACATTACCAACATGCCAGCTCTCTCTATTTTCTCCACAGCACTGACCTGCTCAATACAGACAATTTCTAAATCCCCAGCTTCTCCCTCTCCCGAGGGTTTTAATAACACCCTTATCTTTTGCCAACACAGAAACATTTGTTATATCACAAATTAGAAGCATGAAGAAATAAGCAGAATCCAGCCCTGAATTAAGCTGCCTGGACACTTTGTTGAAGGTATTGCTAGATACTTTGCAATGACACTAAACCACCACCCCACACGCTTCTCTCTGACAACAACCGAGCTGCCAGCTGCAAAAGCCAGCACTCTGGTCCCAAAGTGCACTGTCAAAGAAGGAACAGGCTGCTCCTTTTCTTGTACTAGCTGAAAGGATTCCAGATGTTTCACATCATCCTAAAATGGAAAGAAGGAATATCTGTACACGGGTCACGGGAATGACACTCAAGACTTTCTTCTCTCCTCCCCCACCATGCCTGCTTCACACACTCTGACAAGCCCTTCCTTGTATCTGGAACTATCAGAAATTGCACTTAAACAGAAATCAAGAGAGGAGCCCTGATCACAAGCAGTTTATGAACACTGTCATAAAATAAACTACTCCAGAACATGCATGCCAAACATGAGCTGGAGTCAAAGGTGATGTTTTGCAGCTATCCCACAGCTAGTTTTGGTAGGTCTGGCTAATTTGTTCCTCCTGAACTCTGTGATAAGACTTTAAGAGTCCACAAGGACAAGCTGCAGATAAATCTCTTCATTTATCCTCTTTCACACACCGCCTCCACAGCCAGGGACCAAAGAAAAGAAGGAAATGTTCACACAACTGGATTGCTTCTCCCCATGGATCCAAAAGAGATCCATCTCCAGTTGAAGAGTTCTGGCTTGTACACAAAGTTAGCCAAGAGCTGCCTGCTAGCAAAAACACATGATCTAGATGCTGCAGTGCTGGGTTGAGACAGACAAGCTGCTAGGAATTTGTAAGAGAGCAACAAAAACGATCGGGGCCTAGAGGGATTGATTTACTAAGGAAGATTAAAAGAGCTAAATATGTAACATAGACAAGAGATACAACTAAGAAGGGTGGGGAGGAAGAATGGGACATGACAACAGTCTACAAATATTTGAAGGCTGTAAACACTAAGGAGGGAGAGGAATTATTTAGGGTGCTCTGAGGGAGGGGAAGAAGGAGCAATGGGATTAATTTAATACAGATTTCAACGCAGGAAGGATCCAGGAGAAGGGAAAGGGGAAAAGCCATCCTGAGAGATAGAAATATTTGTCCAATGCTTACTTTTGAAAAGATGCTGGCATTTTCCACTTAAAAAGTGGCAGCCAGAAAAACAAGTCTGTACATTCCCTTCACTCTACCAGAGGACCCTTCTTAAAAGCACCAGGTGGTGCAAGAAGGAGTGACTAGTGCAAGAAAAGGGACTAGTATCCTTCCACCTTCTGAATTAGTGTTCAACCACCAGCCCTCATTCAGCATGGAAATACCCAGAACATTCAAAAAACATAAGAGCACTTCCTTCCCTTGTCTCTTTCCCCTGCCTTTGTGAAGACTTCTCTCCAAATTCTCTGAAGCAGTTCCCTTGTCTGCTCCCCAGGGAGAATTTTTCCCTCTCCCAAGACATTTTCTGACACACAAGCAAGGATGAGTCTCTCTGACTTTTTGCAGCATTAGCATTTTGAATGAACCTGATTCCCAGAACATGAACAATGGAAACATGAATGAGTTTTCATCCCCACATTACTCTGGCTGTTCAAAAACATGGAGATGCATCCATGACTGGGCTGCCTGCAGGTAGGGAGTGGTATCTGAGGGCACATAAAGCTGGAAAAGGGAAAGCAGGGGTAGGCATCAAGAAGACTCAGATTCCTCAAAATGTGATTATGCAATTCAGATGCTCAGATGGCCTTCAGCCCCACACTCTCCATAGCCCAAACACAGGTGTTACTTAGAGAAAACAACCCTGTGGCCTAGAAGAGCACAAGTAGAGGATGGTTTGGGTTGGAAGGGACCTTAAAGATCACCCAGTTACCAACACCCCTGCCAAGAGGGACACCTTTCACTAGGCCAGGTTGCTCAGATCCCCATCCAACCTGGCTTTAAACACTTCTAGGGATGAGGCATCCACAACTTCTCTGGGGTACCTTTTCCAGTCTCTCACCACTCTCATAGTAAAGAATTTCTTAAACCTTCTTCAGTTTAAATTCATTCCCCTTGTAAAAAGTCTCTCCCAGTCTTTCTTGTAGGCTTCCTTCAGGGAGAGAAGGCTGGAACTAGGTCACCCCAAAGCCTTCTCTTCTCCAAGGCTGAATAATCTCAATTCTCTCAGACTTTCCTCATAATAGAGGTGCTTCAGCCCTCTAATCATTATTGTGGTCCTTCTCTGGACCAATCTGACCTATTCTTTGCTCAGGGGGTCAGTGTCTGAATTCTTTAGGCTTGTTCCCTCTCCAAACCTCCCCATGTCTACAAGTTGCTTCCTGTACTATTTCTTGGCTAGAGATCCACCTAGATAGAGACCACAAGCAAGGAGGGAATTCAAGGGTAGGAATCTTTCTGATCCTTTGTTCCATGCTTTGACCACCATCTTTTTTAAAGCTACAAGTACAAAAGCAACAGTTCTGTGCTCTCTTTACAGACTGGAAAGCACCGTGTTTCAGACAAATACAGCAGAGTCTGCTAGCTTCAGCCACTCGAGAGACTGAATGTAGGATGGGGGATAATTCCTAACATCCTCCCCCAGTCTCGCTCCGCTGTGGGGGCTGCACAAATTCAACTCATTCATCACAAGCTCTTTGAAACGGGGCCCCGGGGACAGAGGATATCACCGGCTGAACAGGATCTTTTCAGAGTGGAATCCTGACTGCATGTCTGATACAATAAACACCGACCTCCCTGAGCATCGGGGGCAACAGGCAGAGGCCCCGCACTCCCCACCGCCTGTGCCCCTCTCCACAGCCTGCCGAGGGAAGAATGGAGGGCTGGGAACAGATGGATGAAGGCAGATAGGGCGAGAGAGAGTTAACAAGCCAGGAAACAAAGGGAAGGCACTCCCCTCCCAGCAAGGGAGGAGCCTGCCACCAGGAACTGTCCCCAGCCAGCTCAGGTCCCAGCATGCTTTGTCTGCCCAGCTCCTCTCCACCACCAGTGTGCATCCTGGCCAAATGATTCCAACACAACACGTCCAGCAACCCTGTCCTGCCTCTTGGCCCGCACCTCTGACAAAGCACCTCCCCCTCCAGTGGCCTAAAGGTCTCGGCAATTCCTCTGCAAACTGGGTTTTGCTCTTCTGAATGAGCACTTCTAGAGGAAAATGGGCTAGCCAAGGCCCACGGGCAGCCTGATCTCATTTCCCACCCTCTCAAACCAGTGGGGGAGAATATTCCACCTAGCACACCCACCCCTCAAAGTAGAGCATGGAAGGAATGTGCTTCAAGACCCAGCTAAGGATTAACACAGACCATATCTTGTGTCTATCCATACAAAAATCCAAGTTTCCTTCTGACAGACAGAAAACCTGAAACAAACCCCAAGGAGAGCAGCACGCAGCACCCACTGGTTACAAAGCAGGTGAAGGTAGTAACACCCTGAAAGAGAGAAGCTGAGGATATACAGCCCCTACTAACCCTCAGAGGCACACAAGCCCTGCTCTGTGTCCACACCATTATCAAAGGAGAGAACTGTGAGGAGGACCTGGTGCAGGGGAGAAGTCCTCGTGAGTGAGTCCTTCTGTCTGCAGAGCAGGCTGTGAGAGCACAGCATGAGCACAAGCGTCCTCCAGACGCAGCACCACAGACTACATGCCCAATCCCTCCGGGCTGGGGAGTCACCCAGGCTCCATGAAGTCTCGCTATCACTGCTTCAAAACATGCTGGCTTGCACCTCAAGGAACATCACAAGGGCTTTGATACTGCATTCAAGTAACTTGGTTGAATCCTGCTGTGCTCACCACACTGGGGCACTGGGCTTCCTCTGTTTGGTGAGAGGCAAGGCAGGCACAACCCCTCACCAGAGGCTATTTTCCATACCTGATTTGCACAGGTGGATGACCGGTTACATGGTACAGAGCAATACAGGATCAGGCCTTTCATTCAGTACCTCCTTTCTCTCCCCCCATGTACCCCAGATGTTTAGCAAGATCCTGACAATTTACAGTGTCCTAGAGAGGGTCTGGAATGCTTCAAGCCCTAGCATTGGTGGAAAATGCTGTGTCGGAGCAATCACTCCTGAATCCTAGCACCTGGGAATTAAAAGCACTGTCGCCCAAGGCACTAACTGGTTGGAGGGCCACAGAGGAGCAGCACACAGGAACAGTAAAGGCAGCACACAGTGGAACTGGGATCCCAGATCCATTATTCATCATCTTTGTTCACGTTCTGGATAAAGGTGGCAACAAAGCCTTTCACTGATGATTCCCACAGGACACTTAATCAAGAGGGGCTGCCAACACCAATCAAGAGAGAATAATAAAGCAAGAGGGAACTGGAGATAAAAACCAGAGGTTGAAAATAGACGGTGATTTACAATCACACGAAAACGTAATCTGAACTAGAGGTATTCAACGAAAGGGATTTGGGGAGGGATGGGAAGATGTTGGAGATCCTAGAAGAGCTCTCCTACGATACAGCTGACAGTGCACTAAGGCCAATTCTGTAACCTGATAGTGGTGGTGATGGGGAAAGCCAAGGAGACCCAAAGCGGCCTATGCAGAGGCATCACATTACAGATCACTCGAGGGTAGTCCTCCACTGCCAGGCACTGGAAATGCCACACCTCAAAAGTAGTGTTGGCTCAGCAGATGAAAAAACTAGGAAAAATTGAATGATCAGCAAAAGTGAGGAGTGAGGATGTGCTGGGAAGCAAAATACAACTCAACTGAACAAATTAACAGCCAAGGAGCACATGATGACCACCTGCAAGTACCCAAAGGGTGCGGACACCAAAGGAGAGAGCAGCCCTTCTGCTGGCCTGCGGGATCACAGCAGAGCAGGTAGTGGTGATAACCAGAGACAGGTAACGCCAGCCCTCATGGAGGGATCGAGCAGGCTGCTGGGTAGTCTCGCCACTCTGGCCCCACATGGCTTGAGCCAATAAAAACACGAGCAGGCAAGCACCAGGGAACATATCTAGACATCAGCACACTGGCTTGGAAGAACTTCTACCCAGGTGACCTGCTGTGGTAACAGGAAAGCCAGCACCTCATGGGCTCTGTCCACTGAGCTTCCATCTCAGGTCATCCCAGACATTAACTCTTAAATCCCATTACAGATCTAACAGATCTGAGTCCCAGGACTTCAACCAGACCAGACTCTCTGACCTGTTTTACACCTCCTACTCTTACAGGTCCTGGACCACCTCTTCCACTACCAGTCTACCCAAAGCTGTATTCCTTCTATCCTTGAAGGAATAGCTATGTCCTCCCTTTCCACCACACGCCCTGTGAACAGAGTTTAAACCCACACACACCCAAGCTCAAGAAAGGGAAGTGAGAATGCTGGAACAGGGTGTATGACAAATGTGTCCCAAACAGTCCAAATCTGAATCGGTCTGATCAACCACCACTGGGTCTTCAGTACGTGGTAAGACAAAGCTGAGCTCATCCCCCTTTCTTCGCCATGAGAAGGCCAGCAGCCACTAGCAGTATTCCATTAGTTTTTTTCTCTTCTCCACCCCTTCCAACCTTACATGGTGCCCACAAATACCAAGAGGCAAGAAAAACAACCCCAAAACAATTATGCAATTGAGAAAACCAACCTTGAGCCAGACTCTCACACTCACCTAGGTAAATGTCTCCAAACGAACCACTGCCAATCTTTCTGCCCAGCCGGTATTTGTTACCCACTCGAAGCTCCATGGTTCAGTCGTGCTAAGAAAAGAGGCACAGAAAGAGCAGTGTCAGAGCAGAAACAGGAAGTGAATCATGTAAGACTGCAGAAGAGACCTCCCCACTTCACCCAGAGGCTGAGCAGTTTTAAATTTTTAAATACTTCACTTTTTACATGGCTTCTATCACCTCTCCTGATCTCCTGAACATCCAGGGACAACATGAGCAAGAAACACTGCAGGAACAGAACACTCTCAAGCATGCTTTTCCCATGTTCCCATTATTAGAATGAAACATGATTGAACCTCTTCCCCACCTTTTTGCTCAGAGACTAGGAAGGGGCTCAGGAAACCCCTTCTGAGAAGGTTTCAGTGCATGATCACACCACACTACTATAGAGGTACTGCTTCTTGTACCTTACAGTACCTGGCACTGGGACAGAAGTACCTTGTGAGACACCGGAAGAGTCAGGTATAATAAACCCTGTGAGGAGCTTCCCTCTGACCCAGCCCTACTCCAACACCTCGGTGGTGGTGTAGTGAAGCACAGGACCCAAGGGCTGTGAGGGACAGACAGACTGCCAGGAACAAGCAACTCCATCTCTCCTAGGCAGGGGCCAGCACAGGGGACAGGGAGGAGACATCTGGCTGAACTGAACCCTACCAGGCCAAGAACTGAACCCTGGCTAGGAACACCACTTGCTCATCTCCACACGCTTCAGCTGATGGAATCACCACCTCCTTTGGTCTACCTGAGCCTCTCCAACTCTCTTGCCTACCTAGGTGTGCCAGCTGTTTGTTTTTAGCAGCTCAGGCCTTTCCTCATCCCTTTACCTTAGATGATTAGGTAACCCTTTGACCCGATATACCCCATCAACATGCCCAGGCTCAGCCTACTCACCTTCCACAGAAAACCAACTAGGTGGAAGGACCACAGCCCCAGTTTTGTTCTCTCTGCCAGCCTCAACTTCTGCTGCAAACACCTTCACCAAACACAGCTCCAGCAGTTCCCATCTTAACAGACCCCTTTTCCTTGCCTCTTCTACAGCCACCGACTTATTCTAGGAACCACATCTCTTCCCGACACAGACAATGTGTCTCCTTTTAGAGGGATTTGCCACAGTCCTAATTTATGCAATGCCACATTATTAGCGTACCAAATGCAGACACAGAGCCTGTTGGGGACAGGAAAGGTGAGGAATGATTCATGTTTTCACAAGTGGGAGCGAGGAACTTTCCCTTGCTGGAGCTTGGTGGGAAGGAAGCATCATTGCAGGAAAGAAGGGAGAAATGGCCTTGTGAGGCAGAAGTACAAAAAAATAATCCCAGCCACAGGATTCTGGGCATACTATAAACCCAGAGCTGCTTCTCCTGCCCCAGGAGATGGGATTACAGAAAGAAGAATGGACGGGCTGCGGAGATGTACAGGGAAATAATCCCATCAAGGCATTCAGGGAACATTGTGAACCCTGAAAGCAGAGCTCCAGTCACCAGAAACCACACACAAAACACTCAGAGGTGGAGTCCCCTCACCTAGCATTTGCTTATGCATGTGGGTTTCTGTGCATCTGAAGTCTACAAAACCCTGTGGCTATTTCTGACTTTTTTACTACCAGGAATGTAGGCAGAGCCTTGGGAACTGAACCAGGAGGCAGGCGTACCTGGGTGAGGGCACAGCAAACAGACATGATTTTTATCCGCTGCCTGCTGTTCTGTATAACCACATCAACATACATCTGACTTGCTTACACTCCTACTCCAATAAACGATCAAAGGTCTGTGTCCCCAGGAACCCGTCACACCACTGTCAAGAAGACAGCTCTCAATCCTCCTTCCTTCATGGAGTGTTTAGCCAGGCCCGGGAACCCCAAACACTTCCACTTGAGTCCAATTCCCAGCTGGGGCGAGCACAGCCGAGCACATGGCAGAGACTGGGCAAAAGGTCCCGGTGGGGTCTGCGCCGCACTGGGACGCAGCAGGTACTGCTCTGCAACACCACCGTCCCAAACCTAAATTCGGACCCACCCTTCTGGGACAGGCAGGAGCCAGGTTAAGAAGGGTTTCTCACACAACGAAGCAGCAGCCCTTGTAGCTGATTAAGCAACAGGCTCCAAAGGGGAATCTAAAAAATGCTCTGGGGCGCGGGGGTGGAAGCGGGAAGCAGGATAATGGAGTAAAAAAAATCATGGTCTCGCACAGCTGTCATTTTGCCTTATCTCCCCCCCAACACACATACATACACAAGTGTGAGTAGAAAACCTGGGCTGAGCACAGCCAGAGAGCAAGAGCCTGGATTCCTGGTAAGAGGGCAGGACATACACATCCCACCCCCTCAACAACTGCTCCAGGAGTTCAAACATCTATCCATCCCATTTGCTTCTCCTTCACACACATACCCCCACCACCATCTACAGCTTCCGCCCTTTATCTTCTGATCTTCAGGTCTACTGTTACAAGAAAGAAAATTGTACCCACAAAATATATATTCTTACATGTGAAATTTGTATCACCCCTCTATGTATTATTTATACATGTAGAATTTAAAAAGCCATCCCCTCCTTCTACACCCCACACTACAGCCTTAACTCCCCCAGCCCTGCCACCCTTCCTGCACTCTACAGCCAAGGCAGCATTCCCAGGGGCTGCAGGGCAATCATTTAGTTAAACCATTTAGTTTTCCATAAGGGATTAACACACATACAACCTCAGAGCGAGAGTGTGCTCTGCATGAGCGTTTGCATACGTGAATATCCAATACTACACAGCCTCAAAAAAATAATAATACTATCCAGCACCAGTGCTGCTTCCCCACACACACCATTTTGCACCAGCCCCTTTTATATAATATAAAATACCCACGTACAGGCACAAAGGCCATTATATAAACACACGATAAGAGTTGATATCACATTGCTGTGCCAGCAACGATGGCGACCAACGATGCGGGGACCATCTGAGGGGAAGGGGGGGGACACGACCATCAAGAGGGGCTGGGGGACACCTCTGTCCCACCCGAGGGGGTCGGGAATGAGAAGATGCCCTGTCTAGCAAAAGCCATACAAAACCAAACCCACGGCTGCATAATGGAGGCTGCCGATCCCAGCACTGCTCCGGCTTTCAGTGGAAGTGTAGGGAGTGGGGGCTACCATTACCATAGACCATTAAGGCTTCACACGGGTTTTTTTGGGGTTTTTTTTTTAATTTTTTTTGGTGGGGGGATGGTGTTTGAAGGGGAAAAAGGATAGGCTGGGAAAACAGTAATTTGAACTGGCTTAAAAATGTGAAGGAAAAAAGAAAAAAAATACATTTTGATTGAAATGCAAAACACCAATCCCCTCCAGACCCTTAGACACTTACAGAAAGGAGACCAGCAAATAAGATGGGGGGGGAAAAGAAACCCCAAGCACAGAGCATTGGAACTACATTTGAGGAAGAAATAGCCCCAACAGGAAAACAGAAAAAGGGGGACACACACAAAAAAATATAATAATAAATGTGTCCCTTACACCCCCACCCCCTACAGGCAAACACTACGCGAAGACAGCCGTACCCGGGCTGTTATTTTTCCGGGTAGGTAACAAAAAGCTGCCACCCCCGGGAACGGCGCTGAACTTCTCCTCGTCCCCGCACTCGCACCCGGCCTCGGCCATCGACCCCCGCCCCTACCGCCCCCCACAAGAGGAAGAATCGACCCCATAGTCCCCCCCAAACGCAGACACCCCTTCTCCCCCCGAAAGAGGCGATGAGGGGCGCCGGGGAGGGAGACCAGAAGCATCAGTGCACGGAAGGAGTGGGGGGCTCAATCCCCCGGGGGGCGGCCCCCCGCCGGGACCCCCGCAGACCCCCGCCGAGAACACACGGCACCCCCCTCCCCGCCCGGCCCCGCCGGCAGCCAGGCAGGGCCCCGGCAGGCGGAGAAAGGGGAGAAGGGGGAACCCCCCCCCAAAAAATCTGCCGGTGGCGGAGGGGGCGACCCCCTCCCCGCGCCCCCACAAAGGGGCTTTT